TTGGCTTGCAGTGGAAAACCGATGGAGTTGCCAAGTCCGCACCCGTGAGAGACAAGAATTTGGTCTTGGCGGGGCGTCACTTACCACCACAGACTCGAAACAACGAGCCCCTATCAACTACAATCAATTATTCTCCAACCAAAATCACGAGAGATACGATATCCGACTGGTCCGGAATTAAGACACCATGGCCTTGGATGGATTTCTTCAGTTTCTATACAACAGTGAAAAATAATCCTGTGGAACAAGTAACCCTTGTCGCAGGGCTCGCCAATGTCTCTGATCACGGAATATCACTCGCTATTGAATATCTGCTTTGGGGCGGCTTCTTTTTGGATATCTGGGGGTACGCCGTACAGTTCAGGGGGTGAAGGCCAAAGTTTCGAGAGAGTAGGGGTACCAAATATAGCAACGGGGTGTACCATCAGGCAGACTTGTCATGTTTTTTCCTCTTCTTTTCTCTTCCACTAATGCATTGTGTACGGTGCCAGCGGCCCCCCATCTCTAGGCAAGAAGAGACACCCACCCCCACCGGAGGGTGAAACCCCCGAATCCCCCCACAACGTCGTTTGTTGGGCGCCGGTTGGTGGTGGCGGTGTTGAGCCTATGCTATCATCCCGGAGGCTAACACCCGAATGTAAGCTCCGGGGCGGGGCAAGCAAGGCACCGCACGAAACTAACCGGATTTCGCTCATCCACAGAATTACTTACAGTTGGCAAATTTGCCGCGATGGCCTGCATATTTCTGAGCTGGCGGGAATGTGAAGTCGCGATATTGGGAAAATAGATAGGCCACCGTATTCGCACCGCACCTTTCGGTAGCGCACGGGAACGAGAGTCGGGACACCGTCGATCACGACCAGTTCAAGGACGTGAGGCATCCGGAGCCATCACCGTTTTGGTAAAACAGTGTATGCTACCCGCTGTTTTCTCGGAGCTGTGCTTTTTCATATCCTGGGTGTATGCTGTATGGGCAAAAAAAAAAAGGAAAAAGAAAATCTTTTCTTTTCTAATGCGGCGTTCCGGATAAACCTTAAGTAGCCTTTTAGGTTCGTAAGGTGTAGGAGGGGGTGAGAACTGAGTATGGTACCGTCACACGCAAGCATGTTGGGGTCAGTCGAGTATGTACCCGGTGAGGCGCTTTGTGCTTTTCTTTTTTCTGTTGTCTCATGAGACTGGTGATTTTCCGGATTGGCCTCCTTTTGGCTAGGAATGGGATTTTGGATTCCCGATCTCGTTATCTATTGATTTGAGCCTATATGGTAACTCGGCCCGCTATGGGATGTGGAATTATCATAGCCACCTTCTGCTGAACAAAGTTGGTGGTTCGCCATCCCAGTATTTGTAACACATTTGTACTGTACCCAGCTGAGATTGGGATGGGCGGGACTCTGTAAATAATAAGAAAACACTCTCCTTTGCTTTAATGACCGGGGAGTGTCGGTGAGTATTCACCATCCTGGCACCGGCTTTTCCAGCAATAGAAGAAGTACCGGGTCCAACCCCCGGGATCAGGATCCTTGTTGCTGCCGTCATCATGTATCTTCCGGGTTTTCTCTTTCTCCCCCTGTCTCTTCGGGCCTGTCTCCGTGTAAGACCTCTTTGCCCTTCTCCGCGGGACTACCTTTTGCTGGTGGTATAGAAGCTGGCTTCTTTAGAGATAACTAGTCGGTTCCACAGAAGGTATATACCCCCTGCAACCTAATTTCCGGCCCTTGCAACAAAAAACTCTGAATCAAGTCGAATGGGTTAGAATAGTCCCACCAGTAGGCCAAAAGGTTTCAGCTCACTTGCGTGACGACATATCCAAGGGCCCTTTCGGTTCCCGAAAGGCTGTCCCGCCTCGAAACGGGTCTCCGGCGTGGCTTAACCCGCTTGTCAGTGACCAAGCATGCATCGGACCTCGGCTTTCATCTATTGCCTATGCATGGGTCGACAAGAATATTATTGTCACACATCTTCAACTAGGAACAGGCATGTTTGGTAGAAGCACAGTATACTGTACGTCAACTCAAACCCTCCAAGGCATGGCCCATGATATAGACGGGCGAAAGGGGCATGTGAAAGCTAAGTCAAGCACTGGTGACGGTAGATGCAAGATCTTGCAATTAGGGAAACCAGCTTCTCGGATGATGCAGAAATGCGTTCCACATGCCTTCGATGGGGCGAAGGGTTCTGGATCTGCAGCTCGGATAGATTAATGATCATGGCCTCAGCTAAAGCCTGGGATCTGGGACGGAATCGGATTTGTACCAGGAAGCAGGCATGGGATCGTCAGCATTTGTGGGGAAATTCCCGGCGCGTAGGACAACGATTGGGACTCATCGTTGAGTAGAACTCACTCCCATGGAGAGGCTTGCGGTTCGCTACCTCCGTCCGTCCAGGATAGGTTTAGTTTTGCGAGCTATCGGGATTTCATATACCCGCCATTAATGTTAATACTATGCCATGACCGGAAGGCGCTAACCCCTCTCAAGGCCTTTTGTCCCTCAATCGGGAAATTAGAGGCGTAGCGAAGTGGGTATGCTTGAACTGAGTAATTCTGGATTAGTGAGGACGAATTAGGGTGTCCATCAGTTCCAGGGAAAAACCACTTCCAGCCGGGGCCCCCACAATATTACCGGTAGCGCGCGGCAGCGCCAATAAACTATTAAAGGAGATCTACCGCGTCGGTAAATTAAACTAGCATATCTAGATAAGGCAAAGCTAGGATCTCTCTCTCCATATAGAAACTGTCGGGAAAGTGGGGTACTCGCGGGGCATCACCCAGGTCTGTTGAAAATAACCTTCTTTCAACCACACCTTATCCTGCTCTTCCCCTCCGAAGGACGCCGGGTACGGAGGTGGCCCGCTGGCTATGGGCTACGCCTCACTCTTAAGCACTTTCCCCTCTGGGTCTAAATTTTATGTCTCGTGCTTATAACTCTCCTATCTGAGCCTATCAATCCCCCGATTACCAGCCAATGTTAGAAAGGTACGTACTACAATAGAAACCTCTAGGAGTCATGATCACAGCGCGGACCCCATCCGAGTGGACGAGCACCTACCGCTCAAGCCCCAACGGCACCGGAAATATCACCTCTTCACGCACTATGATGGAAGGGGAGCGATATGGAGGGGGGGGCTTCGGAGAACTCAGACCCGCGAGAAGAGAAATGAACGCTATCCCCGAGTCTATCCGAGTATCTCAGACCTACCCGAGAGCAGCGCCTCACTATCCCTTTCGCCGTCATTTCACTCCTCACCTTTTCATCTCATGGTCGCTCCCCACCCCCCACCGCTTCCCCGATGCACCAATACCACCCTCAACGAAAAAGCAAAAAAAATGCACACAACCGCCGACGTCTATGCACAGAACAAGCAGAACAGTCGCACACAAACCACATAGCACAGCACAGAATAGCACAGGGCACGTTGCCGCACTTTGTGAGTTGCGAGTGTGAGTATTTCCTCAGCCTGATGTCCTTCCTTCCTTCCCTCCCCCCTTCACGCCGCGATATGTTACCATATCTGCGAAACATAAATCCCCCTGATTAAGGCTTGCGAAAGGCTTTGGACGAACACTTGGTCCTTTCCGTTCAGCGTGATGATTCCTGAACGTACGTTGGTCTAATCTAAATTATCCCATCTGTGCACGGAGTGTGTCCGTGCGGGTAGATACGATAGATATCGATGAGCGCAGCAAGGCTGTAGTGCATCTACCAGAGATGATGGCTGGTTGGCTGCTAAAGTGCATATCTAGCAGAATGCAGATCCGAAACATATCTCCTTGTGCTGGTTGGCTATGGAAACGTTTCCTTTGTTTCGTTCCTGCATGCTTACTCACTCACAGGGTTTCCCGGGGGGGTGGGGGGGGCATTGTTGGACTTAGCGGGGATTTTTTCTTCTTCCTCCGTGAAGTCATATTGCGACTGCGGTTGGTTGGTTGGTTGGCTGTGTTCATAATTTACTACGCAGGGCTGTACTGTGCAGCTATGGCGATGCGGATGCGATGATCAAATATGATATTAGGACAAGCAGTCCCCGCGCGGCTCTCCCGGTCGGGAGGGTTGAGCGGGAGGCTACTGTCATGATTGTGCATGAACTGGACTAGACTAGACTAACTAACTAAAAAGCGATCCGGAGGATGGATGGTAAAAGAGGGGACAAAAAAATGCAGAAATAATAGAAGGTGTAAGCATAATCCATCACTCGTATAAATATACGTTACTCGTACTATACTTGTACAAATTCGGTGTGGCACAAATGGTTAGACGACAGAACTCTGTTTTTTCTCTCCCCCCTCGGGTGGTTTGGGGCAGGGAAAAGGGGCGCGGGGGGGGGGGGGATAGTGATGAAATGAAAATGGGTAAAGTGGGATAAATGGGGGGGGGAGGGGAAAACCAAAATTTTTAAAAAATTCCAAAATTTAAATAACCAGGGGAATAAAAACCAAAACCAAAATTTTTACCCCCCCCTCCCCCCCCGAACCTTTCCCACCCCCCCCCCCCCCTGTTAAAATGCCAACCAACCAACCAATTAAGGATCCAAACCCAACCAAACAAAAACCCCACCGGGCCCCAAAAAATCCCCCCCCACCAAAAACAAAAAAGTGGGGAAAAAAACCAAAGAACCCCCCCCCAAAATTTCCAACCTGAAAAAAAGCAACCTTTCCCCCCCCAACCAAAACCCCCAATTTATGCCTCCTAACCCCCCCCCTTTCCCCCCCCCCCGTGAAAAACCCCCCCCTATCCCCCAAGCTGGGGGCCCGTTGTTTTAAAAAATATTCCCCC